AAACCCCAAAAGAAGGTATGATGGAAGCAAGACAACTGCATGTCACCAGTTCCTTTTTCAGAAATTTTATAAAATTTTAATTGGATGTTTTGTGTTTTTAAAAGGACTTTTTGTGAACTTTACGGCGACAAGTAGCCTAAAAAGGAAGGTCAGTCGCTGAAAATGTTTTAGTCTTGGAACACAAGTAATAAATGGTGATCCTTTTTGGACAGTTTTGTCTTTTATTTTATTAAAAATAATTCTCCATCGGACGAACTTTTACAGAATTAATTCTAATGTTAAATGTGGTTATAATAGACTATGTACAGATAATGGCCAACTATTCTCTTCTAGGTTGCTTGCCTAACTTTAGGGAGAGAGAGAGAGTGATTTTACAAGTTCTAAAATATCCCCTAAATACCTCTCTGAGTACAGGGAGAATTGATATGGCAATGATCCTCTGTATGGAAGTGGTAGTACTCCTTGGTGTCTTCTGTCCAGTGTCTTCTCTGATAGGGTCACTGTCCTTTTTCATGGAGATCAACTGGCACAAGTATAGAAATAACTTCCGTGTGCGGATGCGCGCTGAGCTTCCGGGGGCTTGAGCTTTTATTTGTTTGTCTTGGGAAAGGAGTCACGTGTTGACATTAACGGTGCATTCTTGACACCTATGTGTCAACTTTCCCAGCTAATTGTGATAACAAACGGTGACCTCCAATATAATTCTCACCAGGAGCGTTTTTTCTATCGGAGTTGTTTACATTTTTTTTTCCGACAACTGCGTTAAATTTGCAGATTTCACAATATTAATGTTTGATATTGCACTTAACTAGAGTCTATTTCAAATAACTTGGCATCTAAGGTAAACAGACAGGTTAGTTATTTTAACCCTTTCCTGATGGACATCTGGTTTACATGTATTTTATGAGTTGACTGAGGTCAATATAGGTTAATCAAGGTCATTCTGGCAATGTCATTTTAAAAATTTACCATAAATCAAATTATTATTATTATATTCATATGAAAAAATCACATATATGCATTAATATATTTAGTTTCAGATGAAATATTTTCCAATTAATTTTATTAGAAAATTTGAAAGAAAGAAAAAATATATTAGAACTGAAATTTACAATTTGTAAATTCATGACATTTTGTCAGATTTAACATTCTCTGGTTACTTTATTCGTTTCTGGCACTTAGCCAAACAACATGGAATATTGTTTTGTATGACTCCATATAACATTTATGCATGTATGTTTTTTTGTTTTGAAATTAACACACATTATATCAAACATTTGTTTGGGATCAGAACTTTTATTCTGCTATAAACTAATATATTTTATTCATGTGATATCAAACAAAAATCAAAATTTTATGACAAACATATGATCGTCAGAGGGGGATGCCAAGATAAACCCAGATCATCTGCCTAGGGGGATGCCTTCTGGGAGGTCTTCTAAGGATAACTGATTACAGATGTGGAGAAAACCTGGAAAATTCCACATGGCCAGCTCATCTGGGTGAGGCACGAACCCACGACCAAACTCCTAGTGTTCAGGGAATGGAACCGCTTAGCCGCTGGTGGATCAGAACTTACTGTGGATGGCGATTTCCCATACATGAGGTTAATTTCAGCAATTTTAATGCCACTCTCGTATTTTTCAACCTTCTTCAACTTGATTATGTTTCTGGCCTTCTCCTTTGAAGGGCTGCTGGCTCTGGAAACTTTTTTGGATCCCATGATGGAGCTGAAAGGAAAGGAATGGAATTGTTTGTCTAGACGTTCGGGAGAAACAGTGCCACACTGAGCAGGAAAACACGTGGGTGACCCTTTGTTTTCGCAAAATTAGCAGTGAGGTCATGTGGGCATGCTGACGAAATCTGAGGCAAATGATGAAAACAGACAAATTTTTTGTGAAAAAATTTGGTGAAAACCGAAACTGACGATAACTGAAGTAAAAAAAACCAAGGTATCACTGTATATCAGTTGAGGAACTGGTGATGACTCTCATTGAAGAAGAATTCATGCCCACTTTCGTTGAGGAACTCATGACAACTTTAATGCTTGGAGGAACTGGTGATGACTGCTGAACTGGTTGTTAGTTGTCCCATTAAAATGGCCAAATAGGGACAGCAGGTCAGAAGGTTGTGGGAAAGCTGAGAATATGTAGGAAGAACTGTTCCCAAGTGTAAAATTGATATATATTGCTGCCGACAAATTTATTTTATTGAAAATGATAGTATCATCTTTTATTATTTTGATTAAGATATTGTTGATGATGTCTGGGTTCTGACAAATTTATATCACTAATTTGATCAGTTAACTTAGCTTAGTGTTTACATTTTATAAAAAAGTTTAATAAATTAATTTAATTTATAATTAATTAACAATTTAGAAATGTCTAAAATGAATTTGAATAGCAGTACAATTATTTTATTGCTTGTATTTATTTATTAATATAAGATTATTAATATTATGTAGATAAAATCTATGTAAAAGGTGCATGAATATATTAAATTTTTAAACAGGAAATATAGAAAAAGTGATAAAATAATTTTTGGATATAAATACTATGAGCCAAAAATAAAGACAAAATATTAAAAATGATATTATGAAATAAAGTATTTCTTTTACAAACAATTATAAAAAGATTAATAATATGCTATAAGTATATATAAAAATTCAAATGGTATTTCAAATTACTTTAATAATGTATTTTTACCAACAGGACGTGCAGGGCGTGTTTCTGATGGAAGATGCTATAGAATGGTTCCATATGATTTCTATGAAAATCATTTGCCAGAATATGGGATCCCAGAAATGAATGTAAGAAAATATATAAAATATAGAACTTGTGAAAAATAACAATTTATTGTTATAGATAATAAGAATAAAAATTTATTGACTATTATTAATAATTCAGAAAATTACAATTAAATTTTATTAATTTGTTCTTCAAATTTAGTTATGAAGTTTATGTATATCAGAAAATGTTTTAGTAACTTAGAATTACAAAAATTATTTTAAACATATTGTTTTACATGAATACAGAACAACCACTAAGATGACAGAAAAAAAAAACAGTATCAAACATTAGTGTAAAATATAAAAATCAAAAATCAATGTTTAATTTTTATATTATGCATAGTCTTGAAATATGATGAATGCTCTCAACACTTTAGCTGATTAAGTACAGTTAAATTTTATAAAATCAAAGAAACTTAAATGTGTGTACAGAAATAAACAATTTAATTAGACTAAATAAGTATGAGATTGTTTTAGAAAATGTTAATTTTATCTATTTAGATAGAGATAATAACAATAAATGATTTGTTATTTAACTATTAACTATTAGATAACTATTTGTTATCTAGTGCTGTATTTTCACACACACAAATGAAACTGATATACTTAACTAGTGATTATATAAATAACCATAATTTTTATCTTAAGTTTTTCAAATTCTTCTTCCTTTTTAAAATATACAGTGATCAATAAATAAATTTAACTAATATATGCATTTGTTTATTTTTAATAAGAGTGATTTACATTTGTTCATTGATTGATGCATCTTCTAATGATGAAATAATTTTTTTGAAATGATTTCTGTAAATTTGATGGAGTATGAATATTGAGTTTGGGAGATAAACTTAATAACTAATAACATGTACACATGGAGACCAATAACTGGTTAGGAAATTAGAGATTTTGTTTTCATCTCCAAGAAAGGGAGAAGTGTACAAGTTTATTTATATATGAATGATATTGTGTTGAGAATATACCTTCTATTTGTATGTATAGTAGAATGATGATGTAAAGCTGATGAAGCATAGCCTTGAATGTAGTACTTCAATAGACAATATATCATAGATACAGATATCATATTTATTATGTTGTAATTAAAAGGAAAAAAGTATTAGCAAGTGATGTAATCAAATCAAGATAGATTCAATAAGATAATTATAGCCATTTTTTCAATTATTTTCAAGTTTGAAACTCAAAATCCTATAAATCTTTTTAAAAAATTTATTATAAATAAATACATTATTATTTATTGTTAATAACTTCATATTTTCTTTTAAAGATCAGCAAACAAATGTTTTCAGAAAGCTAGAAAATGTAAATGAAATAACATCAGCTTAATAACAATTCTACCATCTCAATAGTTTGTGTTTCTTTTTCTTAGAAAGAGGAAAAAGTACAAATTCTTAACATCAATTAATAAAAAAATAGTGTGTGTAAGAACCAAGATGATGCTAGAAGTGTCACATTTTATTTTTTGTAATTAATATAATACAACATTAAGAGAAAATTTTAACAACTTGTTTTTAATTGTAAAAGTTGCTTTTTAATGATGAATTTAATATTAAAATATTAGTCTTCAAAATGAAATGGTAATAAAAATATAGCCCAACTGCAAGAGTTGGTTTAATGTCAAATCGTGTACTGATATAAGTTGGATAACTTTTATATAGCAATATTTGATAGTTGTACTATACAAAAATTGATTAACAAATGAATTTACAAGTAATGATAGGAAAAATCATACTTTCATAATAAATCTAATATAATTAGGCATTTTTTAAAATTAATTAGTAATTAGAAATGTCTAGAAAAGGATTGGTTTAGAGCAGGGCTTGTACACTCACTCATTGAACAATTATGTTACCATTTTTTCTCTGTTTAAATATTTCAAATTCAGTTATCTCATTTGCATGCACATACAAATTTATAACTAATACATGATCATGCAGCTGATTAGAAACTACATAAAGATTTTATTTTAATTCTGTAATACTTCATTGTCTGGAAAATAGTTAGTTTTAGAGTACTTAGATGGCATAACTGATAGTAAATTTATATAAATATGAATCTGATTCTTTTTGTAGAAGTTTCACAATTATTAAATTAAAATTATTGTGTAATTATTAATAATATAAGATGATGACAATGCTGCTTATATCTAACTACAAATTTATTTATAATTAATATTTATATAGCTAAAAAGTACTCTGATAAAATTATTAAATTGTAACTGTACATTTGTCTTTAATGTAGACATTTTTTGGCTGCAATTTGAAAAACTTGCCACTATGTTGGCATGTCTGTTCTCCTTTAATCTTGAGAACGGGGTTAGATAGATGAAAGCAAGACCAGATATGGAAATCTTAGGGGCACAAGGCCCCAATCAACTATATATGAATTTCCGATCTAAACTGAAACTCGTGTTATTTTCAAATGTTTTCCCCTGAAAGGAGTAGACAGATGGCCAACATGATTCTGTTGCTAACAGGAAAAAGATGATGTACAGGGGGAAGCCACTATTAATTTGAGGCAGATAGTACATATTTTAAATTAAATAAATTAAAAATATGATTAAACATTACAGCCTAGCATTGTGATGATGTCACAATAAATATATGCTTGTTTATTTTTATAATTAAAAAAAAAATTATTTTACATCTTGAAATATAGTTTAATGGTTATCCTTTTTTTGTGAATATTGTGTATGTTTACAAAAAAATAAAAAAAGTAAAAGTTTGTGAAATTAAAAAAATTAAATGCTAAATTATTTAGATATTGACTTCAGAATTTATTTTAATTTTATAAACTTATTGTTTTTTGTAAACATATGAATGAAACTGTGCTATTAATTTTTATAAATTTATATCTTGTGTGTGCTTAATTTATATCAAAAGTAATATTTAAAGTAATTTTTTTTCTTCTTCTTTTTTAGCGATCTCCTTTAGAACAATTAGTTCTTATGTCTAAGAAACTGGATATAGGAGAACCAAAAGCTGTTCTTGCTTTAGCAATTGATCCCCCAAAATTAGAAGATATAGAAAGGGCTATACTTGTATTAAAAGAGGTATTTTTTTATATAATTAATGTGTTATTTTATTATTTACATATTTATTTATTTTTGACCCACTTGAACTTGGACTAGTATTGTTCTGTCATTGAGACTTTTAGTTATGAAACTGTTTTTTAAATTTATAAGTGCTACTATTAATAATCAGTCATTTTCCCCAAAAAAAAATAAATAAAAATAATGAACCCTTTTCTTGTGCACTTTGGGCTATTATTAACAACATGATGGCTAATAGTGAAGATAAAAGTGTAACAATGAATGATAATTATAGTCATATTATCACGTAAATCAAAAACTGAAAATCTCATCTACTGGGCCCATATTTTATGCACTGACAAATTATTCAATTTTTTAAAATATTTATTATCAATCTAATTGTTTTTTGAAAGAATTTAAAAACATTTAGGATGAAATATATATATTAAAATATTTCACATTGAAGACTAAATACAAATAAAAAAATTTGATGTCTTTACACATTCACACATCCTTTACAACTGCTGGCTGTACTCAAGTTAACTGTTTTCCTATCTTTCCTTTAATGCTCTTCTCTGCTTACAAATATATAAACTGATTCTGGCAGTGGATTCTTGTTAAAATATTTCAAGGAATATGTGAAGACATCAAATTTTTATTTGTATTTAGTATTTAGTCTTCAGTTTGTAATATTCTAAATACAGTGGTGCCTTGTATAACGTACACCTCGAATAACGGACTTTCTGTTTGGCCGTTACGTGACTTGAGCAACGGACTTTCTGTTCGGCAGTTACATGAGGCGAACAACAGACTTTCTGCAAACAAGTGCAAATGATGTTTCCACTCTTTTGCCGTTGCCAATGACAATCTGCTATTTTTATAATATATTAGTACAGTATTATTAGAATATATTATTAGTATATCTGAAATACAGAGCCCTTGTTGGGATTCGGTTTGCTCCTTTGTTTATTACGTACATCACCTCAGTATTTACATTTATTCAAGTGTTCTACAAATCATGGCTTCTAAGAAAACAGAAAGATGATTTCAATTGATACCAAGCAAGAAATCATCAGAAGGAGTGAAAGTTGACAAAAACTTCCTTGTTCAAATGGGGAGATGTTCAGGAGTTTACCAACACTTATTATCCAAACAGAGCTGAGGCCAACAGGATCAATGATCTCTACAATGACATCCTTGCCCGTCATTTTCGACAGATGTTGAAGAAGAGAGAGAAACAGACCACCTTGGACATGTTTTTCAAGAAGCTCACTGCCAAAAAAAACAAAGGATGGAACAAGAGGAGTTGGCCCTGCAAGCTCCGGTAGCCTCTCCTGAATCTGACTTTGATTAAAAAACAATAAAAAGAGACCTGCTGCAATGTGTAAAAAGTCTGTATCTGTATGAATGTGTGAAAAAAGTGTTCCTCCATCTCCTCCTCACAACATCTGACTACCCGGCATAATTGGAGACTGCTCCATTTTTATTTTTTTTTTTTTTATGGTACAGTATGGTTATTTTATGCTGCGGAACGAATTGTATGTTTTAACATGTATTTCTATGGTAAAATGCGTTTCGTATAACGGACTTTTCACTTTACGGATGTGCACCTGGAACGGATTAAGTATGTTATACGAGGCACCACTGTATATTTGTTTCTCTTCATGATCTTGTAGCTGATAAGATGTATTAAAATTCAAAAATATCCTGCCATTTGTCCAGTGTGGTGAAGTAAAGTGTAATTAAAGTTTTTAGTCTGTATCACCAAGAAAAGGACAATTAATGAAGATCGTTAAGTGATATAGTAATAGTAGAAAATGTATTTTTTTTTTAATAGAATTAATAGGAACACTAACATGTTTGATTTATAACCAACAAGTAGTAGTTACTAAAGAATATAATATTCAGAAATACTACTTTATTAACTGTATTTTGAAATACAATAAACACAAATATTGTAAATTCCATGAAGCCAAAGTGGAAGAACTGTTTTTTAATTCTGTTCTGAAGACCTGCTTAATCATTTGGCTAGATCAACAATGCAGGGCAATAAGACTGGGTGATGAGAAACAGGGTTTTACATTTCTAGAACATACAATCCTTGAAAAATTCCTGAGTGACCTGGCCTCAAACCTGGGTCTTCTGAAGCAGCAGACTGATAAACCTTGGTTATCTGGCCATAAAAGTGGAAAAGTTAGAATACTCATTGAAAAAGTAATAATCTATATTATTTTATACATAGTTTTTATACATACTATTTTATTTTATGCATAGTTGGCTGAAGAGGGGCTTAAAAGCCCGAAACGTGTAATTTTTTCACACGTATCAACTAAATAAAGATGAGACAACCCGCCAAGTGTCTTAATTTATAGCACTTTATTGTGTTAGAAGCATAAATGAATTGCAAAGCACGGTTTCATATCATCAAAATAAAAAGTAATAATCATTTTCAATGAAGTTTATCACAGTGTATTAAAAGCAAGTTATATGATTGCCCATCAAACTGCTGCGTAATTGAAGCCTTTATCAGAAAGTGACTTCATAAAGAAATGTATGTATGTAAATGGCTACAGAAATTACTTTCTCAAAAAAATGTTAGGCTTTTGCAAATGTACAGATCACGAGAAATAAAGTTGCAGATAGGATCAGTGAAAAATGAATGGTAATATTTCATTATTGCCTTTTTCATTACTGCTGATTAAAGTACTGTGTAACAGATACAGCACAATTTTTAATTTTCACAAATGGTGGCTTGAAATATGAAGATGATAAAATAATTTGGGAAATTAATGCCTTTAAAAGAAACTAAAACACAATCTGGCATCTTCATAAGTCTGCAGTAAACATTGATTGAACTCAAAGTTTACTTGTATATAAAAATAGAAGTTTAAGAACATTGACAGAACTAGAAACATGAACTAAAAATTAATGTTACATTGTTTTTCCTCTTGAACTTTACTTGTATGGAAATCAAAATATGGAAATCTGAATTGCTAATTTCAAGCTGCTGACTAAATAACAGTTTATACAGTTTGTTTCATAGTTCCATCTTTAAAAATTATACATATTTTGGTATAGAGACATTAAATTTTGCAAACAAATTCAATAACTTTTCATAATTTAAATAAGTGTTTTCTAGACGTGCTGCCTTCCATTTTTAAAATGAAATCATTGTACATAATGTTTATGACATCATTCCTAAACAGTTTTTTATTGGTCAAATTTCTTAAGGTTTCCTTTTCTGTGAAATTTCTATGAAAAGTAGAAAATTTTCAATTTTGTTTCCTTCAGTTTTTATTGGCTTTGTTAATAGAAATGTAAAATGATGTCATGTTTCTATTTGTGAATACTAAACTTAAGTATGATTATAGACAGTATGTACTGAAAATAATTGGTAAAAGCTGGCATAGCTATAATAAATCTACTAGTTTTGAACCTAGATTGTCACTCATTATTTGTGCTGCATTTTATATATAGATAAGTATTGTGCAGTAAAACATGATGATGGACAATGTCTTGGATGTAATCATAAACAGTTCACTTTATATGAACATGAGGTTTTAACTATATAGACAGTCCAATTGCATTTTTTTGAATAATAATAATAAATCAGAGTATATCATACTGATGTTTGCTGATTTAAGTTGAATATTGTGCTGAAGCAATTTATGAGGTTACGAGGGCACAGGGTCAATTCCCTAATTGCCACTTACACAACAAGTTGGTAAAACTTGCCCATGTTGCTGTTTGGATGGCTATTATCGAGTGGTGAGGGAGGTGAGCAAGTCAGCAGGCATCCTTCCAGAGACAGGAGACAGATTTAACAAAATAACAAAGCATTTATTATATGACTAAAACTAAAATACAAGAGGCTACACTGAGTTAAATGCATATATCTCTAGGTTATATAGGCTAAATGCGATTAACATAAGATTTCAAAGTCTATGATTGACAACTGCTAGTCTATTCTATGACAGCTATGCCTACTTCCATTACGAGAGAGAGTTCACAGTCCGCTGATAATTACCTGTAAAGTTGGAGGAGTCCTGTATGTGGTGATGACAGTTCTTTATGGATGCACTGGGCATTTGTCAATGTCTTCTACCATTGTCTTCTTTGGGGACTAAATTGAGTCCTTTCTTGGAGGTGCAGGAGACAGAAATCACTAAGACCAATTATAACTTTCATGTGCAAACTCTCAAGCTTCCGGTGGCTTGCACCTTTTATATCATTGTCGTGGGAAATCTAACACGTGATCGACTTTTGTTGACGATGACAGTGTATTTTTGACAGCTATGTGTCAACTTTCCCACTGACTTGTTTCTACAACTGGTGACCTCTGATCTAATTTCTCCCTCTGTTTTTTCTAACAAAGATGTTTACAATTTGGAGACAATTGACATTAATTTTTACTTTTAAGAGCCCCGTAAAAATCTGTGAGCTCACAATTTTATTTATTGTGTGAAGAAAAAAACATTTATGGAACAGATAAAAATACAATTGAACTGCCAGTTCAAAATCTTGTTTTTATGATAAATAATATAGTGAATTTAAATTATTTGATATTTATGACAGAATTTTAGTATATTCTGCCTTTAAGTTGAAATTCTACTTTTGGAAAAATAGTTTACAGAGAAAAATGTTTACCATTTTCTTACATTAAAATCTTTGACACACATTTGAATTTCGTGTTATGCATCCAGAAAAGTGCTGTTGCAAGATTTCCAAGCTAAGAAATGAGTTACAATAAAGATTTTTTGACCTCAAATATTTAAAAGATGAATTATCATTTTTGTAATCCATTATCAAGATATCTTCATTTGGAAATTATTGAACTTATAATGTGATTCTATTGTGGCCGCCAGCGCCAGAGATCCTGAACACTGTCTGGCAACACTTGCCAAGATCACGAACTCTGTCTGGCAACACTTGCCAAGATCACGAACTCTGTCTGGCAACACTTGCCAACAAGAGTGGCTGGCAACGTCAAAAAAGAAAAGGCGCGAAAGTTCATTGGATTTTGTCCGGGTGTTGCCCGAGGATGTCTGTGACAGTTCTAACCTTTTCTAATAAAGTTCTTTTTTGTTACTGTTCGTGTTTGCCTGCTTAATGTTAGATCTAAACATCAGTAGGATTGAATGACAAACTATTTTATAGAACTTTTCCAGCATTGATATTTGTAAATTTTATCAGTAATTATGATCAAGCATTTAATCTCAAAAATTATATCCATATATATAAGCATATATCTTTGTGAATTGTTCCTTTTTGTGACAAACATTTTTCAGTTTCATTTGTAAATTACTAGTGATCATTTAAATTCAAAGTTTTTGCAGAATGCAGATTTACTCCAAACTTTGAAGCTTTTTTTTTTATCTAAGAAAGAAAAAGATATCATGTATATAAAAGTAGAGTTATCAGAAAAGACAAGTTAAAATTGATTAATAATTAAAATGGTATTTGAAATTTGTATTAGTCCATTGAGCTAAGACAGTTTTATAACAGAATTACACCAATGACTAAACTTTATGAAATGAGTTTGAAATCAGTTTTAAGGTCAAAACAGAATATTTTTTCTTATTTTTTTTGCAGTTTTGATATAATCTTATCATACATATTTATTTATAAATTGATGTATGTCTGGAAGAAATTTATTTTGAAATTTGAATAGCATAACTGATAATATTTTTTTTTTTTTTTTTTTTTTTAATTTTTTGATTCTTTGTGTGGGTGAAAAAAGCCAAAAACTTGAGTACACAAGTGCACTTGCAGCCTAGAGTGACTGGAAATTCCCAAGTTAAAACTAGATAAATAAGAAGAGATTTGCCAAACTGTGTTTCCGCGATACCCACGTGATTTATAGACGAAATTCCATCGATTTTTCTTAGTAAAAGTGAAAAATTTAATCTAAAAAGTTGGGACAATGACATTTTACCTTTTGAAAACGTATCATTAAGTAAATATTTGAAATATCTTAATCGAATCTTTAAAAAAGTCTCATTTTGATAAAAAATTATGTTCAAATATACCATACATATATATATTTTTTTATTTTCGTGCTTCCTGTGTTCGAAATTCTATTTCTTCTGAATAATGCTAATAATAAACGANTATATGGTTCAAAGAATAATCATTAGATTTACACCAATAGCATTTGTCATTCGTAAAATCAAAATAAGTATTATTAATAAACAATGAATATTTATTAAGTCTTAACTGTATTAATAATCTTTTTATATTCATATTGATATTAGCAATAATGATGTTTGAAATAGACGGGATGTTTAAAATATTGATGTACCATGGATGATATGTAGACTGATATAATAAGTTTTGATCCATTATTATTGATTGAGAAAACGCTAATTCAATCATTAGAGAGTATCCATTTTGCCAATTCGTTTCTGAACCTTCAAATAATCTGTATGATACACCAAAAGATTGTAATAATTTATTAAATTTGTATTGCCATAGATTTTTATTGTTATCAAGGTTAAAATTTTGATTTAGCATTATTTGATGTAAGAATTTTATATTATCGTCATTAGACTGTTTTAATCTATAATAGAATTTTATCAGTCTTTTTAAATAAAACGGAAATAGTTGGAATCTGTTAGTTTCGGCACGAATTGCATAACCAGGAACTGTCCTTTCTATTTTATATAATTTTCGTAGGTAAATAACATAGAATTTTTCTAAATCGTACAATAAGTCTATTGCCCAAATAGGGCTTGCATAATATATTGAAGGGATAATTAAAAGGTTAAATAGTATTTGTAATCATTTGTAGTTTTATATTCGTCATTTTTAAAGTTGCACATAAATATATAGCATTATCCATCAAAGTATTTATTTTTTTAGTTAGATTTTTCAGATGCGGTTGAAAATTACAATTCCAATTAAATGATATTCCTAAATATTTTATATCATTTACCAAGGTAAGAAGTTGATTATTTAAATAGTATGACTTTTCTTGTTTTGGAAGTTTAACATTATTTCTAAATATTATTATTTTGGTTTTTGAGATATTAATCGTTAAAAACAGGGAATTCAGATAATTGTTTATTATATTTAATTTATGCTGCAAAGCTATTTTTGTTGGTGCAAGTAATACAAGATCATCTGCATATAATATATAGTGGTAGCTTCTTCCAAAAATTTGAACACCTTCAGTATCAAGTAGAAATAATTTATCAATATCATTCAAATAGAAATTAAACAAATATGGCGATAGCGGTTCTCCTTGTAATAATCCTCGGTTTATAATTAGTTCTGGGAATATCTGATTAGCATGGCTAATGTTGATTCTATAATTTAAAAATAATTTCGCAATTGAGTTTGAAAATTTTTTTCCTGAGCCACACAGTTTTAATTTATTTATCAAAGTTGGAACATGAACTGAATCAAAGGCTTTTGATATATCGATAAAAGCAGAATATATTTTCCTGTGTTTTTTTAATAAGTAAATTTGTATTATTGATAATAAGAAGAATAATGTCATTTCTGTTCCTTTTGTTTTTATAAATGCGAATTGAAATTTTGAGTTTAAATTATATTCTTCAGTCCATTTTTGGAATCTTAGTGCCAGTATAGAAGTAAAGCATTTTCGTAAAGTTGATAGTAATGCGATTGGTCTGTAATTTCCTGGATCTTTTCTGTCTCCTTTTTTATATATCATTATCAGTTTTACTGTTTTCCAATTTTCTGGAAAGTTTGCTGAATTGTAGAATGAATTGATTAATTCGAGCAATACCTGTTTTCCTGATGGTGGTAATAATTTTAAGAATTTGGCTGTAATTAGATCCATACCTGGTGCAGATTTTGTTTTCATTTTATTGATTGATGCTTCTAATTCGTCATAGGTAATTATCGGATCCAAAATTTCATTTCCCAGATTCAGCGTCTC